TGGGGGAGGCAGAGGAAGGTGCGGAGCGGCGGTGCACGCAGAGGGTTAATGTTGTAACTAGGGAACAGACGGTTAAGCACAACATCCAGAGCTCTGTAGTGAAAGTCCATCAGAAAGAGTATAATCAATCAAAACTAACCAGGACATCCCTTCATTTTATTCTCAAAGGAGGTTGGGGCTTGAGGATTACAGACCAGATTTCACTTTGTGTCTCTCTCCTGACAGTCTTTCTGGTCTCTGGGTCCACTCTCCCTGAATTCCGTCTAATTGAGAGGTATAGGCTAATGGTCTGAAACTCTTTTTATAGCGTTTGGGTCAGTGTGATAAATAATGTGATAAATAATGTAGGATGAAATTAGTAGGCCAGATACCGCTCCTGAAAACTTCACCGAGGCTTAAATATCCCATTACATGACTTTCATTTATTTTAATTTTGCTGCGTTATTTGCATATTCTTTTTTCCCTCTGTTGCTGCTCTTTCGGACACACGATAGCTCGTGATCACTGTAATTTCCTAGAATTAGTTACTTCTTTGGAAACGGTCGATAGTCGAATCAATAAAATGGCTTGTAAAACTAGGGAGGTATAGGTTTCAATTTGGGGGGAGAAGAATCGCTCATTTTCCACTTCTTGTTGACGTGCCCAGCGTCTCTTTTGACTGGGGTTAACTCTGTGTGCTCCATTGGAACAGATGCCGTATAGAGCTGCTCCCTCAAGATCATTTGTTTCCTTGATGGGGGAACATTTCTGAGCAGAACATATTGGTTGCCATAGAGAAAGAAATAAAAGGAAGAACACTAGTCACATTAAGCTATATGTTTGTGCACTGGGCTTTAGATAAAAGGACCCTAGTTCAGCCAAAGAGAACGGAGCCAAACCAGAGCCTCTTAGCTTCACTAAAACTAGCTTTATTTTGTTGTGGACTTTTGCAGTTGAAACATATAAGCTAATTTTATTGGCTGTCCTTAATTTTATACGCTACGGCTTGCTGAACAGAATAAACTTTCGGAGCGCTCCGCCAGGGCGCGGGCGGGCGGCAGGGGGC